AATGATTGTTAGTAGAAAACGTTGGTGATATTTTGGAAACGTTTCTCTCTGAATGATCTTGAAAACGGTTAGTAATTTATTTTTCGAATGTATTCGGCCTTGAAATGACAATGCAGCTACGAGGAGGGATTGTTATACATATGTACAAGCTATAGGGAAAAAACGTTGGAGCTCGTTAGCGTTCCTGTCGGGTTTTTGGATCATTATGTCGGCCAAAACTGGTTTCGCGGATACGTCGTACGCTACGTCGAACTAAAAATTCTTGTAATTTCAGTGGAGTTCTATTCGGTGAAATATATATATATATATATATTTGTCGTCTAGATTTTGATGCAATTGCGATATTTATTGACGAACAGTTTCGCATTTAGCGGTCAATTCATTCAAAGAAAAAATCAAATCTTGATATATTTGTAAATGACGTTTTTCATTTTTCTAGACACGTAATGTAAATTAGTTAAACAGTTAATTGGCTTCATAAATAGAATAACAGAAACGTTTGTATTTAAGACGAGCAACAATGACGATGTATATATTTATCTGTGGTAATTGCACGTTATAAGCAGAAATTAATTAAATGTAAATGACAAGCTGAGCAATTATGCAAACACCAACAACATTCATATGTACATCAACTCATTGATAACATTATGACATCCAATTTCACGAACTTTTTAAGAATCTAAGTAATCCGACAAATCTTGATAAATACAGCTTTTATCAGTTTTATCCATTTTACCGCCGAAGGGTCGTTTCATAGGTATTTAATAGGTTGAAATAATCATAAAAGATATTGGAACTCGTTGTAACAGTAAGCTTCGTCTATTATAAATAATTACGAATAAGTGTGGACAATTATTAATTATATAAATCATTATTTATATTTCCTACAACAATTTTCCACGCAACATAAAGCTCATAATTTCAATTGCAATTTTACTATGTTTGCCAAGGAATAACGAAGTGAAGAACGTCGAACTTCGGCGAGGATCGTTGAAGTTCCCCGCGAGAGGGGGGGAAAAAAGGTTACGATCTATCGGTTACAGTGACTTCAGAGATTGTGCAGTTTACCTTGGATGAACGCAAAAGTCATTTCTTCCCTCTTTGTTTTGCCAGAGAAGCACAGCCAACGTACTTGCACTTTCACTGTACTCGTGGCACTACGTAGTACGTATCACGTCTGTGTACTCATTCGCTCTGCGATTTAGCGATCATTTCATCAAAAATCGATTGATTCCAGTCGAAAGTATCCCGAGAACTTTTAATTTTCGAAGATGAGCCGCTTCGAAGATAAATAGCAATCAGCGGGAGGACAACAACTTCGTTGCAGCAATGCGTGTTTCGATATCATAGATCCTCTGCAAAGCTGATCGAAGATTTTCAAGCGTATCTGTAAGATAAATTTAATACATTCGATTCCCTCATGATTCACACTCGCGGGAATGTTACACGTACGTGTGTACGTGCGTAGAGGAAAGCATTTCCGTGAAGAGATATGAGCTTTTCAATGGCGCACTCCGCTTTTCGAGCATCGTCGAATGACACGCATAAATGAACATTGATTCAAATTTTCGAGAATATACTTTAGAAATGCGTGAAAAAAGTTTTACATTTATAACTGTCGAAGTCATGAAAGATACTAAGGTCGTGCCAAGGTGTTGATCAAGACACGAACGATCAGAACGAATTGCGTTGATCTGATCGAAAATTAACGTATCTTTATCCGTAGAGGTATCAAACGAAATGTGAAAGGAGTGAAAACTCCATCAACGAATCGCGATCCAATGTTGACGTGTCAAACTGGACGGTCTAATATTTGACAGATCGCTATTCACAAGGAGATCACGCTCTTTCTTTACTCCCTAGTTTTTACTTTTTCGAGCGGGTAGACAGATATCTTCAGTTCTAATTTAATTAGAAAATTCCTCATCGCGAATTTAATACAAATTCACATCGACATGTATATATAATCAATATATATAGATAATCAATATAGATAGATTATCTATGTTGATAGATCTATTTACTCGTAGATTGATTACCTATGTTGATGGATCTATATATGTAGATAGATTATCTATGATATCTAGATTATATGGATATGGCAAAGATGTCGATCATATATATATATGCTTTGTGAGAAAGATAATTAATAGTACGTCTACTCTTACGATTATACGAAACACTTGAAGTGCTTTCAATTGGATAATAGCTAAGTGAACGAACAGGTGTCGCGGCATATTAACGTCGCTACGTTCAAGTATCTGCAAATTTTTCGAACGGTCAGTTAACAAAAAACTACCAGCCTACAGAAATAAAACGCATTCGTTAATCGCACGCAGTTGTCCCTTGTAATTCCATTATTACTTACTGTTATAAATGTTATAAATGTTAAGTCGGAAAATTCACTGTTCACGAAGGAAATCACGCAATAACGAGAGGCAACTGCGAACTTATGTACTTGACGAGGTATAATTTATCTTGAATTATAGCTGAAGTTCTGTTGATTTTAGTTAATCGCAGCAGTAATTCAATAACTGTTCGTGCGAAATTTTTCAACGTGTTCTGGCATCTAGTTGCTGAAAACAACGAGTCGCAAACAAAGTTACAGAATTGTTTTGTATTTTTCTTCTGAAGGACAAGGCCCCCTCCGTTGAGAAAATTATATTGAGAAAAACCGGGGATCATTTTCTTAATTTCAAATAAGATAAAACGTCTTATCGATTAAGCCTGAAATATCCCACATTGGATGTGGCTATCCCGATTGTGAAATAATCGCGCAAACACAGAGTCCTAACAGCAGTTTCAAGTGGCGCGTAATCGTAACCCGATTCCGATCTTCGATACTCAATATCTATGGACTTTCTCAACATTTTGAGTCAATATTTTGCAACATTGATTCGCTTTCTTTTGTTGGCCGAAAACGGAAGTCACTTCCATTCGCTTCTGTTGCAACATTTTTTTTTTTTTTTTTTTTTTTTTTTTCGTTTTTGGAACGAAATATTGCTTTGCATGCAAATTTCAACGCTTCTAAAATATATGAGTTTGAGCACACCTTGTTGTCTAGAATTGCGAAGAAAAAGGAGATACAGTAAATTTTGTAGGCGATACCGATATGACCTTAATTTCCTCCGGGGTAACATATTTATAGAGTTCCGGGTTTCAGGATAATCGATGAACGAAGTTTCTGCCACGTTCGTATCATCTGCAACTTATTTACAACCGTTGCTGTAACGATAGATAAAAATAAGATCTTACGATGAAGTGTAAGATTTTTGCAAGTCAAGGCATAATAAATAAAAAATATTAGACATATATATAGACTTATATATATAAAACAGTAATTGTTGAGAGATGATAAGATCGAAACAAATATTAGTCCAATTATATACCTTTTATATAATTTCAAAGATATTCGAAAACTGGAATCTGATTGACTTGTAAATTAGGTGAACACGTCGGTGAAAGAAGATATGTCGTTAGAAGATGAAACTCTCACGCAAAGGGGTACCGTCCATCCGTTCCACGATCAAGGAAATCAGGACCACGATCACGATGAAAATATGTCGAACGTATTGGTCGCGAAAGGGGTGACGATGGTCATCTTATGCACAGTGAGCATCACCATGGGCATCCTGCCGATGCAAGTGGCGAAGCGGTTGAAATGGAACACTTCCGGCGTTGAAAATCCTAGGTATTGGCACGCAACGATATACCATAATTCCTTTCATTCAACCTTCGAAAATTGAAACTCACGTAAATGTAGGTCACACTGTATACATTGAAATTAAAGCCTCAGACTTCGAGATTTGCACGTTGTATTATCAGTTATGTACACATGCGAAAAGTAACATAATTTTCAATAGCAATGACGCGTTAAAAGTCGACAAATGTTGCGATAGGTCAACGAGATTGGTAAGCTTGCTTCTGGGATTCGGCGGTGGCGTTCTTTTCTGCACGACGTTTCTTCACCTGCTGCCGGAAGTGAAGGAAGGTCTGGAACATCTCACGGCCGAAGGGAAACTTCCGGAACTTAGTTTCTCTTTAGCTGAGACGCTCACCTGCGCTGGGTAAATAAAACAACATTAATTTACTCCCCTCGTCGAAAACTTGAATTACAAAGTAATTAAGAAAAAACAGGAAAACATTTAGTAACTGTTACACATATTTTTCTTCTTTTTTTTTTTTTTTTAGTTTCTTCATTATGTATTTAGTCGAAGAGTCAGTGCACACGCATTTACGAAAGAAGCAGGCACGTAGAGAAGGTTCGAGCAAGGACGTTACCAAGAGCACCAACGAGCTAGTTGAAAATGGACAAACATTGCCAAACTGCGTCAGCGGGCACTCACACTAGTAAGGAAGATCTTATTTATCAGCTAGACGTTGTGGATCTTATGCAAATGAAACGGGATGAATATATATATATATATGTATGTATGTATGTATGTATGTATGTATATATATATATATACACACACGCGTGTTGTAGCAACGGCCACGGTCATTCGCATCACTTGCCTGTCATAATGGACGAGAAAGACGACTTCGTCATAAGTTCACTACGAGGGTTATTAATAGTTCTGGGTTTGTCCGTGCATGAATTATTCGAAGGACTTGCTATCGGGCTGGAAAGCTCAGCTTCATACGTCTGGTACGTTTTTCTCGTAGCTAAACAGCAAAACTGCTTGATTTAAATACATATAAAAAAACAGAACGAAAATCGTAAAATGTTGAAATAGTTTTGGAAGGCATTCGCTGCTGACTAAGAAATTAAAGCACATTTTGATAAAAATGTTGGATAGTCGATGTAAATTTAGCAAAGAAATTTCTTCAATTTCCAAGTCAGCAGCGAATGAATATATTATCACCAATGACGAATTGTTTCCTCAGTTGGCGGTAGTCGCGAAATCAATTCATACGTAACCATTCGCCGGACATTGATGAAAATGTTGTTAATTTGATAATGTTTTCAGGTACATGTTCGCGGCAGTGGCGGCTCACAAATTCGTGATAGCGTTCTGCATCGGTTTGGAGTTAGTTGCCTCGAACACCAGGCGCTACCTCTCGGTGATCTACGTCTGCACATTCGCAGTTGTTTCTCCTTTAGGGATCGGCATAGGAATGTGTCTGGTTGGCGGCGAAAGCGCTGCTGCCAATGGCATATTTCCGGTGCTGCTGCAGGTACAAACCGTTCACGTTGTTTTTCGTCAAACGCGATCGATTAAATATGAAAATTGAGAGAAAAAGAGGATGACAATGTATATATTTGACGTTCGTAGGGCTTGGCATCTGGCACTTTGCTATACGTGGTATTTTTCGAAATCCTGCAAGAGCACAGAACCGGCCTCTATCAATATTTATCCATTCTGCTTGGATTCGCTGTGATGTTTGGACTGCAGATATTAAGTGAGTACGAAATTTGTTTTCAAATAAAACTTTGCAGGATATCTCCATAGACGCGTACGAGCAAAAGCATTGAATCCACACCGATGCGGGATTTAATGCAGAGAAAGGAAAACAACCGACGTACGGTTAGGTATATAAAGTGGGAATCACTGTTCTCTTTTATCCAAGTTGTCGCGCAAATATCCATGTCGCCATGGACAAGAAGTGAGAAACGTTTGTGCATTAACGAGCAATAAGTTCAGCGGGTAATAAAATACGGCTAATCTTTCAATTAAGGCCTCGTCCAATGATCGAAGTCCTCTCTGCAAACATCATTAACTTACGATTACGAGCGTATTTAATTATAATAAATTAAGCGATTTCAACGTAACGAAACGAAACGAATGAACGATATAAGCGAATGCACAAGAATCATCATCGCGCGCTTATCGATTGCCAGTGCGGAGAGCAGCCAGTTATCGGCTGATAGACCGCACAATTTGAACGTGATAGAGCAAAACTCCGACGCGCCGAGGTCAACGTTCGAAATGCCATGATTGAAAGGGAGAAAACGCCGGAAGAAAGATCAACTTTCCAAATCGTGTTTTAACGTGTAGAACTGAATCATCAATAATGAAACTAGCAATTGTTACTGACAAACACGAACAAATCCCTTGGCTTACATTTAAATGCCACTGAGACTATTATCGCCAATCGAATTGTTGTTTAATTAACTTAGAGACTATAAAAGTATTGAATTGAACAGCAAAATTATCCGTTGCAAGATTAATTACAAGATTTAGCTGACATTCAAAAAATATATCGAATATTTCCTTATGATTATATATACGAAGAAATTATACGTATGACAATTGGTATTCGAAGCTGCATCATCGTGGTAAAACAGCAATTGTTTTTTTTTTTTTTTTT